TGTCGACGCCACTGCAGAGGTGCCAGCAAGGGAATGGAGCAATCACAGGAAAAAATGTTTGGGGTTATCCCCTAAAATTTTGGTACTACCCCTATTTTTTAGATGATATGGGTATTTCTAAATTAACTGTGGTAGTACCGCAACTCAAGTTGGGGTAGTACCGCGCCATTTTGGTTAGTTATTTGGAACCACAATTAATTGGAAATGTCCAAGTTGGGACTTAAACTCTACCTCTTTTTAATTTTTACTGGGATCACTGGGGAAAAAGTGGTAGAGTTTAAGTCACAACTTGGACATTTCCAATTAATTGTGGTTACAATCAACTAACCCAAAAGTGTGGCAAAAATGTTGGATATAATATTAAAAGAGAAATCACAAGAGTTAGCATTGTTCTTATCCCATAAATTCTGAACATCTGCGGTTTTTGATTTGACTCTTGCAGGAATACAAAACGAAAAGACCAACTACTAAGTGGCCGTTCATGTATTAAATAAGATATTTTAGATGACTTTTGATATACTTTTAATTGTTTTCCGTACGGCAGTGGTTACATAATGATTATATGTTAAAAAGTATGACTTTTGCTTTTAATCAAATATTTTATCATAGAACTCAGTATGCCTTTCGTAAATCAAGGTAGGTCATATTGCGTTTTGACTGACGCGCGGCGATCAAATCTTGAACTGACCCCGCATTTTGAGTCATGTAATTGTCCGGTCAAAAAATAAATCTCAAAATTATAGCAATTTTAGATTTTGAATAAAACCCATCTTTGCATTTCCTAGTTGTGAATATTCATTTGTGAACAAATGACTCACCCTAGCGACCATGGGAATGCCTAAGAAACATAAGGTGACGCAGGTCCAAAAAGTGAACGCTCTCCTCCGGTTTTGAAATAAGTGAGGCCATTTGTCTGCAACGCCAGTAATGAAGGATTCTACGTTGCAAAACTCACTGTCTAAACCTAAAATCTAAAAGAAAGATAATATTATATCATTGTGATTGAATAACGTGATTACAGTTTGCGTTTTCAGCGAAAGTGATTTGAAAGACAGAGCTCTTTAATTGAAACGATTCTAATTGCAGTCGCATGCTGTATTTCACACACGCTAAATAAGGCTGCTTCTCCATAGAAATGGAGTGAGTGATTATTTTTACGTTTCAAAGACATTTTTGAGATACTGTAATTTAATCATACAGTACAATCCTAATATGATAAAATGAACTTGGGTCATGTTCTAGTCGACGAGTTCCGAGCCCGATTTGCGTTGAAATTCTGTCACCTTTTCGATACATTTTCGATCGAAAATCGCGATATGTATCATACGAAATAATTCATAACCTCTCTCTTTTCATTGGATGGCCTGTCGCCGGCCGGGTAACCGCGTATCATACTTGAAACAAACATATTTTGACATAAAAAAAAACATATTTGAAGCGTTACTGTGCGATCAGAGCGAAGGCAAATTTGGCCCTACTGAGCCGCATATCATTGGTTAATTTTTAAAGGGATACATATGGTCCTAGGTTCTTACCAAAAGCATGACAAAAAATACAATGGACCAGAGCCTGGCTGCTGGAAGCTTCAGGACCACTTCAGGGTAGGTGATGAAGACAAGTCCGGGACCAGAGTTGACAACCTCGGCAACGGAGACACCCTTTTGATCGGCCAGGTGACCCAAAATACCAAAAGTTATCGCGCTCGACACGAGACAGGTGAGCGTGTTTATGATGCAGGTTATCGTCGCGTCCCTAGAATAAATCAGTAAATCTTCTTGAGTTTTAAAATATTCTGCCCACTCTAATCAGTTCCTACCATTATTCCGAGAGGTATTTACTTCAGGAAAAACCAGGGACGGGAACTCTATCAATAAATTATAAATTTTTACCATACTTAGTATCGCATCATTAATATAGCGAATATTTGTTTTTAATGGGTACAGCGGCTTAGGACAGCAAATCGTGTCAACATAGTGCGCATCATCCGCCAGCTTGACACCCTCTCCAAGCCTCGTTAGACAACCTTAGGCCCATTCTCCTGTGAGTACTTAACATTACTCGAGAGGCCCTTAAGTAGAGTTATTGGATTATGAAGTTCCCTGAAAAAAATTCTACTTGAGATATTATTTAGACTCAAAGCGTCGTTTTTTGTCGACAAAATTTGGTTTTATTGAGTTAGATTCGTGCGGATTCAACTTAAAGTCAGTTTTGTTGAGTTAAGAAAGCGTCGTTTTGTAATCGTCACCAAGTTTAAAGAAGAAACGATGGAAAAACAACAAATCTTTGACTCAAATAAATTGACTTTATTGAAGGATTTAAGATTTAACTAAAAGAGAAAACCATAAAATCAAATTTTGTGGACAGGAGAAGACGCTTCAAGTCAAAAAAATAGCTCAAGAAAAATATTTTTCAGTGTTGGAAGTCGTACCTGTAGCAGTTGTGATTGAAGCGGTTGTATGAGCCAAGCGCGGGAAGGGTACCAACTCCGATACTGTAGCCAAAGAATATCTGCGTGATCCCATCGATCCACGTTCCTGCGTCGGTGAGTTTACTCCAGTCCGGGATGACCAGGAATTTTAGGCCCTCCGTGGCACCCGGCAACGTTACAGCCCGCACGAATAACGCCAACATTATCACATATGGAAACAAAGCCGTGAACCAGATGACCTGATCATATAGAGCAGAATACTATTAGTATCACCCTGTATAACTGGAAATGGTGCGGAATTTTTTGTAACAACGTACAAGTGGCTTTGTCAACATTTTTTTTTTATTGCTTAACTCCTGGTTCATTTAATCGTTTAGTATAAGATTAAGTATCATGTTTCATTCTCTTAACTCTAGCATCGCAACGCTGCTTATATTTTAAACGAGGTTTTCACTCTCGTCCATTTAAAAGTCGAACTGGATCAACTAGGAATAGATTATAGCAGCATTTTTTTCACCTCGCAAGGAAAACTGTAAATTTAAAAAAAACACACTTTTAAACTAAAGAACGGGTAAAACCAAATTAAGGAGTTACCCTGGTAATTTTACCCAAAGTCTGTTTTCCCGTAATGAATCGCAAACTTAGAAACTGAACAAGTGAACAATCTTAGCAAAATGGATCAGTTGCGCTGGTCACAGAATCGTGTTTTGATGCTTGATTGTTGTGGATTAGCTAAAAATAATAAGATCTGTTCAAACAGCAACTTTCAGCGTTCAACGTATTAACCCAGTTATTGCCGTTTGATAAGGCCGGTTTTTGACGTCACATACCGTGGTAGGGATATCCTTGGTTTCTTCCAACTTGCTTTAATCCGATTTTCACGCTGAATAGCCGGTGCAAAAATGCGTCACACCGACTAATGAAAGCAACTCGGAAGAAACCGAGGGTGTCACTACCGTGGTGGATGACGTCAAAAACCCGACTTTTCAAAGGGCCATATCTCGGCTAATATTGAATGGAGAAAGTTGCTGTTCTAGCTTACACGAATCAATCATCAAAACACGATTTTGTGACCAGTGCAACTGACCCATTGCAATGTTCTTTCCTTAATTTAAAGTGTAATTGAGTCATGAGGTGTGTTTGAAAACCACTCACTTTACCACTTTCACTGAGGCCGCGGTGGAGGATATTATAGATGATGGCCCATGCTATGATCAGAAGGTACAGTAGCTCCCATTGCATACCACTCCAGTCATCTACGCCGTTTGATATCATCAAAACACGGTTTCTATGAAAAATGTTTAAAATTAGTCGAGAGCATTGGCGCCCAAATGTAATTCTTCATTTGCTTCGCGACAAGATTTAGGAGCGGAGCCAAACGAATCGCCATTGCTCTCACTCAGTTTTGAACGGAAGCATAAACGAATTGTCACTTGCGAGTAAGCGCCCGTTGCCTTTAAGCGTCCGGTGGGTCAGTGCTACGTTCGCATTCATCCCACCCAAGTTCAAGCATGCTATGATAACCTGTCACAACAGCGAGGAATGTGCCAACACCTAGGAGCGTTGGCACATCGTCGCAATATCGCACTATTTTAAATTGCATCTCACTTTTAGTCTGCCGTGCTAAGGAAAAACGCCGTATGAACATTCTAGAGTTGTCAAATTTCCTCCAGTAAAAAGTTTAATTTTTAGGAGAGTTATGATTAGTTCCTCTTGAAATTTGCAGATAATTTAGAGCCGATTGTGAATAAAATTCTCTGAAAAATTGGAGGTGAAATGTTCACAGATTTTCCTGGAAATTCGTATTTTAATAGAGAAAATTTGGCAGCATCTGAAGGATCATACGACGTTTTTCATTAGCACGGCAGTAGCTTATACTGCTGCGATCATAATGTTGAATGTTATTCGAGATCCGTTCAAAGTGTCCTTTTTATGATGCTATGTTAAGGATCCCCTCAAAACTCCCCCATGGTAGCATGGAACATAAGGGGCCTCAAAGAGAAGGGACTGTTTGAGGGATGAAACAACTTTGAATATGGTCCTAAATATTGTAAAATTTTGTAAACTCATTGTAAGAGTGGCTGCGTATGCTTACATTGACCCTAAATTGTCATGTAAAGAAAGAGGTAGTGGAGACGGGCCAATACTCTACGGGCATGAATCTGTTAAATAACAAAATTTGATGTCATCACCATTACACATTGTATGCTGATGATGACAGAAACTCTAATGAACCAGTTAAAATTATTCGTTCTTTGATCTAGATAAGACTGGTATTATAAAACATCACTTTAAAGGGATTTTTGTCCCAAAAAACATATTAAACTATCGATCTTAGATTTTGAACGGGAGTGGTTATCCAAAGAAGCAACTTACTCCCAAAATTCTTCAACTGGCGTTGTCACATTTTTCAGTTGTATCAGAGCCTCGGGTAACGAAGTATTTGCCGGTTCGTCAAGACTAGAGGAATTGATAGTCACATTGATACTAAAAGGTCCTCCTACATCAACGGAGGATTGGGTTGGAATGTTTAAGTATTTTATCACTTCGGCGGTGGAGCAAGTCTCAGAGTTCCACCAATGACCTAAAAGAGAAAGGTTCAGAGTAATGAACATGCATAGCGGTGTTTCAAAGTTTGATTCAATTTTCATTTCATTCTGTGATTAAAAGATCCTGACATTTCTAGCACCTGTTTGTTTTTGTTACTTTCAAGGAAAATTAGTCAAAAGTATTTGACATTTTTACAGGATTTTCTTTATAATAAGTGGGAGACTATAGGACTTCTTAATACAAAATTGCATTATAGTTAATTTTCAATTTGAGAATGATATGCCAGAAGGTTTGAAACGGGGCAAATTGAGATAAACGGTGTCCAAACTTGCTAAAATATGTTTTCAAAACTAAACGAGCTCTCAACGATTTTGAGTATGAGTTATCTTACCACACGTTCCCCAAGGTAGACTATCCTCAGGAACAAAGCAGGTGAAAAGGTAAAAAAGAGTCCAGGCAACTATTATACAATAGTAAATATCAAGGAGGAAAACTATCATCATTGTCGAATAGCCAGTTCCTGCAAGAAACAGAAACGAAACGTATTATTACAAGAATTATAATACTGTCTTCATGCACGGGACTTGAGAATTATTGTTCTAATTTTCGTATCCATATAAAAATACGTGACACTTTACGATTTCCTAGTGTAAGACGGACGATATTTACAAATGCTACAGACATCTACGAAGTATACTTAGGAGGATTTTTCTCTGAAAAATACAATTTACAGATCATAACAGATGTCAAAACGTGCTTTATCCATCAATTTCACGTATCTCGAACTTGCCCTTTACCCCCCTTCCAAAAAACCCAATAAAATGATAAAACTGAAAAAACCAACGATTTGGTCTGTGATGTTTCTAATTTTCGGTTATATTTCTTTTAGGATGAAGCTCGATTATAATCATTGCATTATGAGATGCAGTTCATTTTATTTTTGCTCTTTCGAAAATATCCGCTGAAATACATTGCACACGTAAATACATCACTTGAAGTTCTTCGGATTCGAAAACACGGAAAGTTTGAAAGACGACAATTTATATGCGTATTTTTCTGATATCACCGGTTGTGCATCACATTTGTTATGTTGAGCATAAATTCTGTATAATTGAGAGTTTTTGCTGTAGAATAGACGAACGCTTTTAAACTTAATACACATTCAAAAATTTTCTTTGGAAACCTTGCCTGACAGTCATACGGTTTTAAATGAAACTGTTCTAAACCGAGATTCAAAGAATAACCTTTTTAACACGCGTGGTCAAACATTTTGGTCAGATTGTAATTATGATCACCCTGCCTCTTTGTCGTGATTTTCATTGCCACCTGAAAGATATTTCGTAACTAAATAAGCTTGATACCGAATTGGTCCAACACCAGAACAAAGAGCTAATTTTGAGTTTAAATCCAGAGTCCTTTAAAATAATCCGCTAAGTTTTACAAACCTCCAAGGATCGGACAAATCTTTTCCACGAGAGTCATCCCACCAGATCTGAGGTACTGTCCTATGGCAACTTCTTGGAAGAACATTGGAATGCCACAAAACACCATTGCAATGAAATATGTAACCAGAAATATACCTGGAAAAAGTAATCCAATGGAATGAAGGGAACATGATCCGATACGATTGATACCCTTAACTATTAAATATCTGTCAGAATATATGAGAGTACAAGTAGATCACGAGGTCGATAAATTCTTGGATAGAAAACGAAATTACCACGGACATCCGCCGAGTCTCTTGTAATGTGAGCCCTTTCCTTAAAAATCGTGAAATTCGGAAGTAACATATCTGAATTACGTCGTTTCAAAATAAGTGCCGGTAATACATTTTTTAAAGAGAGGCAAACGAATAGTTTTGTTTGTACTTTCCAAAAAATATTCCGTATATTATCAAGAAAAACAAGTAAAAATCAAAGTGCTTTGGAAATTATTAAATTTGACACGGAACCACCAATATATAAAAAACACACATTATATTATTATTTTCCTTTGATAAATTGATAATATTTTTTCCCCATCAATTTAAATGAGAATAATCAATGAAGAGTGTGCAAACATTTCAAAATCCTGAGTTAAAAAACGCTGACTATGCGAATATAAATATTAAAACCTACGAGAGCGGAGCGGCGTGCTGCCAGCGCGAGAGGCTCACTGGCACCTACAAACCTAAGTGGATACTTCACGCATTGCACAATGCTTGAAGTATACACTTAGGTTTGTAGGCGCCAATGCGCGTTCCGCGCTGGCCGCCCGCCCGCCGCGCCGTGCGGCGGCGCCTGAAGCAACTATTTCACAACAGAGGTGTTACACAGTATTATACGAAATTGAACGTATTAAGAATGACAAGCATCCTTTAAAAGTACAGATCTTTCCTCGCAAAACAAATCAAGATACTTATCGTACACAGGAAAAATCTAAGAGCCTTTAGCTGATAGGTCCAGGTATAACAAGGTGGGAAAATCTTGAGAGATAATTAAGTCCTGTTACGCTAAAGAGGTGTAGAGAGTTTTTTAGTGAATTTTTTCTCATGGAATTGACGCTCGTCCATTTTTACCAAAACTCTCAACTATATATTATTCTCCGCTGGACCAAACAGACAAAACAAAAAAACAAGCAAACCCTCATTCTTCCAAGACATTTTACATTTTCATCCAAAAACGTCGTGAGCAATAGTCGTTTGTAATTACATGTGGGCCAATTAACTTTGGGTCTCAACTGACACGTGGACCAAAACTCCCGTGCCGCAAAAACGCGTGGACGTAAATTACTGGAAAAAACAAGTGCGCGGACAAAAAATCGTTGACGAAATGTCCTATAACCCAATACATAGCGATTTTTGCCGTTGAAAAATGCTCCTTGGGTTTCTCTGGCCCGTAACGCACTTGAGGCCTTCTCTACGACCTCTTTTTCTGCAGGAATTTCACTAAGGGGCCAGAAACCAGAGGCGTGGTCATGGAATTGGGGTTTGAGGTGGAAGATCCAGACTCTTGAGTCATGCATGACCGGAATATTGTCCTGAAATCGTCAATTTTGGTGATTTTAGGAATATACGACCCTTGAACGCTCTTTTCTTACCCTGATACCCGTGAGAAATGGTTGACGGTAGACCCCTTCCCCCTTAAAACAACTCCCTTGTGGATGGTTATAATTGGGCTGCATTCTGCAAGTTGGACCTATAAATTCTGGCTCAACTGAAAAAACACTTATGTGCATAGGGAAACTAATGGCACATACGCTGTTTTAAACCGGGCCGGAATTTATGGTTCCTAATCGCAAAATGTAGTCCAATTGCTATCAGTGGCGTGGCGTGAACGATCGATTATTGATATCTCGCCATTTGAAGCTATGGTAAAGAATCGCTTACTAAGGTGTTCGCTTACTAGGGTGCTGCGAACACCCTAACAATCGATCTTTTTCATAGGCTTGAGTGGCGTATCAATCGATGTATCGCAAAGCACGCCACGCCACTGATTGATACGACGAGGTAACTTGAAAACCTACCGCCTCCGTTTTTGTAGCAGAGATAAGGGAAGCGCCACACATTGCCGAGCCCGACGGAGACGCTGATGCAAGAGAAAAGGAAGTCGAGCTGGTTGTTCCATTCCCGACTCGACGGGGCGTTTGGTGCCCCCATCTGGGGCGATCCTCCTCCTCCACCAACGCACCCACCTCCTTCTCCACTCTCTGTCTCGTTGATACCTGTGGTCTTGGTCTGGTGGCAGCAACCATTCTCCTCTCCTTTGCAGCATCGATCCGTCCATGCAAAAATCATCTCCTTCTTCGTCATTTTACAGCGCCTTATCTACAGACAATTCAAGCCGAGGAATATTATCTGGGCCGACACCATCGAGTACAATCGAGTTGCGATGTTCTGGAGCGCCGATGAAGACACTTTTTGAGCAGTGGCGTGGCGTGGATTGCAATGTATCGATTGTTATGCCATTTAAACCTATGGTGAAGAATCGATCATTAAGGTGTTCGCTGCGAACACTGTTTATCGATTCTTTTCCATAGGTTTAAATGGCATAACAATCGATATATCGCAATTCAAGCCACGCCACTGTTTTTGAGGCTGTTTTTTCCAGTAATCCTGAGACTAGTGTACGGCGACTGGCGATACCGTATGCATGGGGTCCCAGCTCCGGGGTTCGCTCAAAAAATACAAGTTCAAGATTAATTTCATGAAGACGAGATTTGTGTAAATTTTGTAAATTTGTTATCATTTGAGTTAATGTAATATGCCAAAATTTACGAAAGCGATTTAATTAGCGACTTAAGTTAATAAATCCCGAAAACCATTCGCAGCCCGCGATTCTCCCATAAGCTGCCATTTTAAAAGATACCGTTTGGTTTACACTTGGTTCACAAGTTTGGCGAAGAATGGGCTCAAAATTACCCGTTCTTTGATTGACTTCATCAGTGCTCTAGTACATTGCGACTCTGTGGCCAGAACAATTTTTTCTTAAATCAAAGTCAAACTAAGTTACTTAAAAGAGTTCTCTTTAATTTCAAAACATGTATTAATAACACATGTAATGTTATGTTTGAACATGCCTCTCAATGAATTTGTAATGGTTAGTTTTTTCATAAAATACAAGACAGAGAATTGAATTGACGCAACGTTAATCGCAAAGTTTGAAACAGCAAATGTGGGGGTGCCAAGAGACACACAGCGCTACAATGCTTCCGCATCTGACGCTTACATAAAGAGCTTAGAAACCTTTGAAAGAGTGAGCGGCGGATAAATGTGCCCTTGAACTTTTACTTTAGTTCCTCCACTGTCTCATCATTTTTCAGCTTCGCACGCTTTCCCCCGTCACGTAACTGAACTAAACAGGAATCTTTCAATTGAGTATCTGTGACCGTTTGCGGGAGAACGGAAAATTCCATAAATTTTGAACACAAATCACATAGTCATACCCTTAATTAAAAGCGCATTTTTTCAAAGTAAATTTTGCATCCTACAACAGAGTTAGGCTATTTTGTCAATTAAACTACGAATAGTTTAAAATAGCTTTGCATTAAAACTGCTCCTCTTTCCGGTGCTTTCATCTCGTGAAACTACTCACGAATTTCGGAACTTTTGAGATTTTTCTGAATTTTTCCCGGAACTTTTGAAATTTCCGAAATGTTCCGGATCTTTTGCATTTTTCGAAACTTTCTAGGAACTTTTCAAAAAATCTAAAAAGAATCACGAAACTTTTGACGGTCATGGAGTGGGAGAAATTAGAGCAAAAACGTTCTGAATTCCAGAACTATTGACGGACATGGAATTGGATCACTTCCTCTCTCTATAACGGTTAGAGTTGAGCGAAAGTGAACTGATTGACACGGCCTTGGTTCAAGGGAAAATGTGCCTAAATGTTCAACTCTCTATACTGCTCGATGTAAGAGATGAACTTCAATTCAACTTTTTGTTTACTAATTATTTATTGGGAACATAAGATTTATGGCACGAGAAAAAAGCTGCTAGGAGATATAAAAACGACAGTTTTTACTTTCCTTTACAACTTTAAATTTCCCTTTCAACTCGATTTTTTAAAGGGGAAAGAAACAGTAAGAAAAGAAAGAGAGGGTTAGTCAAAGAGAGCAAACAAAAAAGATTGTGTTAACTACACCACAGGTTGAAGAGGTGAAAGCTACGTCGTTTTGTGGTATAAATTCTCAAAAAATCCAATCTTTGGATGCACGGGTGGTAAAATTTAAAGTTTGAAATTGAAAAAAAAAAATCGAGAAAAACTTTGTCAAAATTTGCTTACACAAAAACCAGCCTCAGAAAAGATATTTTTGAAAACTTATGACATCATCATAATAAAAATTATGGTCTGAAATTTTGACAAAATGTTCTTGAGAGTATTGGAACGTGTTTGGTACTAAAACTGAGTAAATTTTTCCAACCTTGAATCTGTTTTTCTATCGAATTGAACAATTTCAGGCTCTAACTTAAGGGTCTTTTTGCCTGATCCGACTAATTCAATGTGTGCTGAAAGTATTACGGATCAAACGAATTTTTGTTGGTGATGTTGAGCATTCTAATCTCATTCCAGCTTGTAACCAGCGTATGACTTGTATTTTGACTAAATGTTGATTAGATGTCTTTATAGATATCTGTACAGATCATAATCTTTAGTGCCACGCTACTCCGGTCTGAGAATCGACCGAAATTTTGTGTTTTAACCTTTTTTTTCTTTTATCGATTGAAAATGCCTAAGTTTTTAAAAGTAACGTCTCGAATTTTTCATTTGTAATTTTCGCCTTCTTTCCCCAAGTCGTGTTTTTAGTGTTATACTAATCGGGCTACGTTAAAGTCACTTATACTTATCTATGTAGATAGTTGATAGACAAAAAGACACAATGAGATTAATGGGAAACAAGGCTAAAAATAATAAACACAATATACGGAACGTTTCGGCTGGTCACCAAGCCTTTATCAACTGCTAAACACAAATATAAAATTAAAACCAAGACTAGAAAAACCACTACATTAAAACGCGTGTGACCAGCCCAGATGGAAATTAGGACTGATCAATCCTTATCAGTCACTGATTGCAGTCCTTGTGTTTATTATTTTTAGCCTTGTTTCCCATTGATTTTATTGTGTCTTTTTGTCGTACATGTTTCGGCCTACCATAACCTCTCTTCTTCTTGTAGAGAGATAGATAGATAGATAGATAGATAAATAGATAGATAGATAGATCGATAGATATCTATTAGATAGTTCTTAGATATCTTATATTATTTATCTTCCTTGATCCTTTAGTTTCAATTATGAAATTTAAAAAAAAAAAAAAAAATTAAAAGGATGAATGGCTATACTTTCACTTACCTTTCTTTGTAAATCTCATTCCAACGAAATTGGTTGTCCAAAATGATCTAACTGATTAACCTTCTACGAACATTTACTAGCACAACAACAAGTTTGAAAACAGGTATATTTTCGGTTTCGAAGTTATTTAATTTTAAAAGGAACTTTGATCGCTTTCACTTGATTATTATTTGCAGTGCTTCCAGATAATTTCCTGGATATTTTTATTATATATATGAGATAATTAGGATAAAAAATGTTACATTGCTAATTTGAAAATTCCTATGAATCACTTATTTTGCATTTGAAAGCTCGAAATTTTTAAAGTAATTTTCGCTAAAATATTGTCCTGTATGCTCCGTCAATAAACCTAAGTCCATGAACTTTTTTCCAAGTTTTTTTGTTCATCCTACGCTCCTCTTTCGCGCACTAACACCAGCAGCAAACGAAATCGACGTTGATATCATAGGTCGTTTTTTTTTAAATTATAGGGTCAGCTCGAATCACTGTATAATATTCTTGTTTATTTGTCCACGAAAACACCGGTATCTAACATCACTCTGTATGTCGATATTATCACTGAGAAATCATCACACCGAAAGGTTGACTGCATTTAGGGCTCGAGCAACAGACAAACTTGAAACAAGGGGTTGGATTTTCCGGGTTATTTATCCTCAACCCCGCTCTTAATTTTCTACCCTCATTTGCGTTATGCCGTATCAAAGCACTAGTGTCACCGTCCGTAAATTTTCCGCTCGTTATCACACTCGTTATCACCGACGTTATCCTCCCGTATAGGTATACAATACACCGCTATCACTCGCTCTCTTGAGGGTAAAAGCCAACCGTTTTCCTCCCCGGAAAATCACGAACAGGAAATCCTCAACACAAGCGTTGGTTTTTTTTTTTGTGTAAATGATGAAACTGTGGGTGATGGTGATGTTAGTGAACGTAACGTAACACGCCGCGAAAAAGCAGGGAGGTTATGCACCTGACATCGCAACGTAACGCGATTTTGCACCGTAACGTAACGCAATGTAACACCGTAGCGTAACGCGACGTCGCGCCGTAACGTACGCTATCTTTTACCGTACGCACAAGTCAGAGGGGACCTTCGCGCTTACGTGAACGAGTGCTGTCCCACGTTCTAGCGTGGAATCAACCTTCCCGCAAAGTCGCGACAAAGGCTGGAGTGATAACAGATCATTTGGCACTGTCCCTTCACGATTTCTCCGCGCGTGCGTATCCCATGCCCGGCTTCGGCGCCCCCACCGCACCGCCGGGCCCGGCCCCTCCGTTGACCGCCAGAAAAGCAACCGTGCCGAAAATAGACGACGGTAATTGACGACAGGTGCAGACCACTGTTGCTAGATGTGAACCACGGGGCGATAAAGAGGTATGGAAAATTTCATGAAATCCCACGCGGTTAAATGCCATGAAAGTTTCTTAAATTTTTGAGGTTCCACACTGAAAAAAAAACTCCGGCCGTTGAAGCCGAAATTACGGGCTATATAGAGATACCGTCCGTTCCGGGCTCAGAGGCCGGAAATTCCGGCTGCTGGAGCCGTAACTTCTATTGCTCCGGGTTCAGAGGCCGAAGCTACGGCTCCAGCAGCCGGAATTGTCGGCCTTTGAGCCGGGAACGGACGGTATCTCTATATAGCCCGTAATTGCGGCTCCCACGGCCGGAGTTTTTTTTTCAGTGCAGCTCTTCCAATTTTTTCTTGTGCAGTTCTGTTGTTAGGCAGAATATTTCGACGGAGCTAAGTATTTCCTTGGAATTTTTAAAACCACCTAGTGCGATACACGCACACCAAAATAAAGGAAGAAAAGATAAAAGAAAAAAAGAAAAATTAGGAGGCCTGAATTAGCTCATGAAAACGGCAATACTTCGATTTCGAAAATTTTCGCCCCCTACCTCTCCCCCCGCTGTATTTTTCCGTCAGTTTTTATTTTTACCAAAACGTTGCAGAGATATACTACGAGATGGACAGAAAGCTCACTATTACCCGGAAGTTTATCCTCTATAAATTTTTCTTATCTAACTTGTTCGCAAAATTTGATTATCATTTTTAGCTCCACGACTACTTGTTGATCAGAAGAGAGAATGAATGGTTGATTCACAGAGTTTGATTTATACGTAAATAGCTACATCTTTGCTTTGTTCATTTATTCATTTGTTTTTGATTAATTTTTTCCCCCCAATAAAATCGTACATCTGAGAACGATTTGTACAATTATATGTGCGCTGTTTATTATTAATTTGGTTTTATTTTTTTTTTTTCGGATGACCATGTGAATTTATTTTTAAATTAGGTTCTATTAAAATAGAACATTCATTCATTTTATGAATGCAATGTGCATTGCTACGAACAATGTAGCTGTTCAGTTTGCAATCTCTCCTGTATTTTTTTCATTATTTCTGAACTTAAAAATAATCCAAAACGAGAAAAAACAGGTGAGTCGCCTTAATCTTAATTTTTACGAAGCAAAATTAAATCTATTTTTGATTTAGCGTACACTCAACAACAATACACAGATCATGTTGATTTAGACTAGAGCTGTCTCTTCCGGATTACATGCTTCGTAAGGGCCACCGTCAAAGCTGTCGAATGATCTTGATGTAAATATACAGTTTCAGTATTATTGGGAAACAGGGAAATTTTAGCGAGGTATTTGGCAACCATGACCTTGGGAGGGGCTCCAACTTTGCGCGGTATAAATATACGTGCAGGCCAGGCAAAATTAAATTCGCGCGCACAATTTAAGTGACGTCTGCCGCGCCGTCTCGTTGCCTAATCGACGGAAAATGACGTCACTTCCACCGCTGAGCTCAACAAGAACCAATCGGAACCGATATGGAGCGTCTTTCGAAAAAATTTCCAATTCCACTTGCGCCAAGTTCAGACACTAGAAATTTCATTTCAATTCAATTTTTGTTCAGAAAATAGAGGCTGAACATGGTGGGGAGTTGAAGATCGCGGAGGCGACATTCGTTAATATGTTTGGAGTATTCAAATAAATTCGGAACTAATTTGGATGAAAATACCTTAAATTATAGAACATTCTGATAAGAAAAGTATTATAAACCTAGTTCTTCTGTATTCGATTTTAAAACCTGAAATTAATTCTGACTCTCCTTCTGAAAAATCAAGGAATGTTCGGTTTGTTTCTGCTAAAATTGTAATCACTCAAAACTAGGACTAAAGGAAATAAAATTATCGGAATGGATATATATTTTTAAAAAATATTTTTATTATATATTTATAAAAATACGACTGTTGACTGACTTTTTACTCCCATTTTGGTCATGTTAACTTGGCACATAACGTAATTTTCTTTTTTAATATATCTAATTCGTATGAAAACTACATTTGCTAATAGTCGTAAACTAACTAACTGATACTATAATTTATAAAAAGTAAACTAAGGAGTACTACGCACATTCACCTTTAAAGTGGTGTATGTCTCCACGGTCAGGGATTTATGGCATGTCGATCGATTTTATAAATTATGTTGAGCATGCGCATTACTTTATCGGGCAAATATCGTATGTATAACGTATATAAATAGTATGCATACTAATAATAATGACTGTTTTATAAATCACCAGTGAGATACTTTGAAGTAGACCTAAATCTATTTCTTTAATTTCCGTGCGAATTATTTCCTTTTTGTATGGGAGGGGAGGGGGGAAAAGGCTGGCTTGCCGGCGAAAAAACCTTTTATTTTCTCTCGGCATTCCTGTTCTTTTTTTTTTTTTTTTCGCAAGTCTTCATCAATTTCCATTTAGAGAGTACTGTAGGAATAAGAAGAGCGGTGATAGCGTTGTAGCATCCGTCAGTATGGGAGTTCTTTGTAGTCTGCATATAAGTCACCCGCGATCATTGTGAAAATGTATGACTGACAAAGTTAGAATTTTAAGAATTTTTTGTTACGAATCATAAATTTAATTTTTTGAAACGGCCTCTTAAAGTACAACTCAGTTCTTACATAGGTAAATCATTTTCCGCGCGGGATTGCAGCGATGCGGGTGGTGGCGCATCGTAGCGTGCTTTGTGATATATTGATTGATCTGCAATTTAATCCTGTTGAAAAGGATCGATAACCAGGTTGTTAGTACGATCACCTGAATAATCGACTCTTTACCATATTTTTAAATGGGAAAACATCGATAAAAATTGAATCAGTGAGTTCGAAAACACACCAACTCCGGTTTTTTTCGATTTTCACTTTTTTACGGGTTAGTAACACTTATGGATAGAAGCATCTGCACGCAAAAGGAAATATCGAAATTACAATCGGAAGTGCTCGAAACAGCGACGGGAAAAGGGATGAAGCGAAGTATTTCATTGGAAATACCAATTTTTGGCCATTTCAAGAGAAACGGGTGACCATCCGATTTTGCTGTTTTCTTTTTTCGCTTCAGCATACCTTGTACCAACAAGTTATATAAATATTCAAGCGTTATTCAGGTCGAAAAATATAAATTTTTCAAGGCAGACTACGAAAAATCAGTATCTGAAAGTTGGTGAGAACGAAAACACACCAACTCGGAAATTTTTAAACGCTTAATTCTCTGTCATCAAACATGGTGTATCGATTTTAACTTGGTGCTTTACAATGTCTCGAAGTACTTGTCCTTTGGCACCAAAATGGTTTTTCTTGCGCAGTTTTCGGTGTTTCCGGAACAATTTTTTTTTTCCGAGTTGGTGTGTTTTCGAACTTACTGATTCAATTTTAATAATGGGAAATATAGCAGAAAGCAGGAAAATCATCACGATCCTTCGAGGATTGCACACTCGCGTTGTATACTGGTCGGATATTGTGTCCACCGCACTGCGAATGGTGGGTTGACACCAAGGAATTACAACGATAAAAGCGCGCGCACGTTATCTGACCGGCTGCACTGCGTTTGGCGCAATGCGAGAGGTATTCATGCAGTCTTGTAGGAGCTCACATGCTGCCGCGCACGCCGCATTGTTTGGCGCAATGCGTGAAGTATTCCGACAGTCTTGCAGGCGCTAATACTTCTTCGCCCGCTGCGCAGTTTTAGGTGTTTCCTGAACAATTTTACTTTTTCGAGTTGGTGTGTTTTTGAACTCACTGATTCAATTGGTCATTCGCGCCTCGCAACTGGCTGCAGGATTTCGTTGCGCGCGATGTTATAGCGCGGCAACTTGACCACAAGATTTTGTAGCGCAGGCTTTTTGCCGCGGGATTATGTGAGAACTCCAATCAATATTTTATCGCCAAATTGCGCGTTTTTCATTTTGCGATTGACTCCGGGATTTTCCATGTGTTATCTTACTTTCAACTTTCTAAAGCTCATCATATACTTCTTAAAAGTGACTGGGCTACATGCCTTTCCCAAGTCAATTAAAAAGAGAATCTGAAATTTTGAGTTATTTAAAAAAATTGAAAAATATAAGTAAAAGCTAACTAATTACACGATCCTCTTCTCCTTGTTTGCGAGAAAACTTCCTACCTACATTGATATTTATGCTATGATGCAGTTCCATTACGTAAGCAAAGTACCATACCCCAAAATTTGTGGGATTTTTCTTCAAAAGATAAAATTGGTTAGTTTTATGACGATTTAACACCATGATTCAACATTGGTCTATGGGCGTTCCAAAGATTGTAAAACTAATGTAGTATGATAGTCGTAAATTTCTTTATGTCATTATTAAACATAATTAAGTAGAGTATTGCAAAATAAAGATTGAATAATGAAACTTACGACCAAGGATGAAAAGGAGAAGAAAAAAGAAAGGAAATGTAAAGAGACATTTATTCTTCTGCGATTTTAATACATTTATTCTAAAACTGAGAGTAATCAAGATCCTGAATATACAGAACTATCACGTATGTTCACCATTAATTAACAGAATTGAGATTTTCACAATGACTCAATTTAAACAAATTCAACAAAATTTCCACATGGCACCAGTTATCATCACATCTGGCTCACTATATCAATTGTTTGTCTTTGCAAACACCTAGAAAATCACATCGGTCTCGCAGCCATTCTCTCGATAAGACCAATCATTATGGGCTTTTTAAGCATCAAATCAGAATCTCAAATATTCACAATTGTCAGAATTGCTTAAATATTTAAAACACAGTCTTCAGATTGAAAAATCCCTCTAGAATGCATTATTAAACTTTTGCCATTAATTCTCATGTAATGAACAGC